CTACAGACAAAAATCAGAGGATACAACTGACGATTTACTATAAAACCAGAAAAACGGCCAGCCTACTCATGAGAAACTCTCCAGACACAAAGCAGAACGCTTTAAAAGAGACCAACGTCGTCTATGCCTTCAAATGCCCTCTTGGGGACTGTAAGCTCCAAAAAACCCAGTATATAGGCAAGACAACAACATCTCTTTCTAGGCGTTTAACGATGCATAAACAACAGGGCTCCATTAAGGAACATATAATCTCTTCCCACAACCAAACCATCGCCAGAGAAATCCTAGTAAACAACACAGAAATCATCGATAGATACAGCGATAGCAGGCGGCTTGACGTTTGCGAGGCACTACACATTAAGAAGTCAACACCAGCAATCAACAGCCAATTAATGCACAACTATATTCTACCCACCTCAAGACTCCGCTCCAATATAGAAGCATCAAGAAATATGGACCAATAGGCTTTCTACAATCACTTCCATTTCAATACCCATTGTTTCGTGTTCTGTCTTGTGTTGATGAAATTAATACCCTATTAATGCCACCTCTTGTTCTGTCTTGTGTTGATGAAATTAATACCCTATTAATGCCACCTCACCCCATCCACCTCACTCAAATGTAGATATAAACAAAATCGGAGATGTTTAAGTTCTATTCAGTTGTGTATTTGTAAACTAAAGTCTTTGAAAATGTAATAAGTTTTACGAAACGCGCTCGTGTCGCGTCAGACTAGAAATAAAAATGAATTTTGGAGAATTGATTTTTGAATTACCTCCAACAGTGAAAAGAAATGTACGAAAGATTGAGAAAATTCGTGTTAGAATTATTAATCTTACTTTTTCGGTCATATTTAATAATATATGTCTACAAGAAAGACTGCTACCAAAATATACTAATATATATATATATATATATATATATATATATATATATATATATATATATATATATATATATATATATATATATATATATATATATATATATATATATATATATATATATATATATATATATATATATATATATGTATATGTATATGTATATGTATATGTATATGTATATGTATATGTATATATTTTATAATATATATATATATATATATATATATATATATATATATATATATATATATATATATATATATATATATATATATATATATATATATATATAGTACCACCTCTGGCTGGAAGAAGGGGGACCCATAGCCTCGGAGGAAACCACACATAACACTTTGGAGGGAATGTGGGTCCCCTCCAATACAGTTTCTGTGTGCTTTTCTCCTACCACCCTCTTCCCTTTTTTTTTTTCTTTATTGTGTATTTAAAGGTTACAAAACATACAAGACAAATGCCTAAAGGTTATGGATCTCTTGAAGCTCCTCCACTTCTGGACAGGAACCGAGGACGCAGCAAGCATTTCCCCATTGCATTGTGCAAGCATTTCCGTACCATATATATATATATATATATATATATATATATATATATATATATATATATATATATATATATATATATATATATATATATATATACATATATATATATTGTGACGGGAAAGTGTTGGAGTGTAGATGTTCGGCAGTCCTCCAATGGCAGGTGTCAATGCCTAGTCACACTTACAAAAAAAAGATAGACTGCTTGCCTGTTTATCTGTCTGTCTGTGGTAAAGTAAGGGAAGACACACAAAACACAAAATATGAACAATGAAACTTTAATTAATATAGAAAACAATTTATAAACAAAGACAATCCCTTGGCAATGTACAGTGCAAAAGAACAAGTCAAAATACAATATAACATAAATTAATAATTGGGATGAAGTTTGTTCTACAATAAAATAACGTTAAATGTGAAAAATAATCAGGTGCTGAGAATATGGCACTAGCTGCGAGACATCCACCTGATACAGCAATATCAGTTAGTTGTTCACTGCTTGAGAGCACAAGTATATTCTGACTTCAATGGCTGGATCAAGCCCAGACATCGACTCAGGTTGAGTGCAGTGTGCAGGTGTGCAGTCGGTTAGTCACCAATCAGGAGCAGGCAGGCTGGGAAGGGTAATTGGCTGGTTGATGATGAGCCGGCGTGGAGAGAGTGGAGTAGGGGGTGAGTCTTGGATACATTTTCCCTCCTGGTCAAAACGTTTTGTGCAACTGGGAGATGTTTCTTGAAGGTAGCATCTATTCTTGTATAAAATACGTAACTTCATGTTGAGAAGAGCAGGCTCAATCTCTCTTGAAAGAGATTATCGTCACAACTCTCCCTCGAAGCCTTCACTTACAGGTGAAGTTATGTCTTCAGGTGGTAGAGTAGTAGGTGGAGTTGTCTCTACTTCATAAACTCTGGAGAGGGCGTCTGCTATGATGTTGTCAGAACCTTTGATGTAGAAGATCTCCAGGTTGAAATTCTGCAGATATAAAGACCATCGTAGAAGCCGTTGATTGTTGAATTGGGCTTGCTGCAGGAAGCGTAGGGGATTGTGGTCCGAGTAGATGGTGGTAGACCGAGCACCTTGCAGGTATGATTCAAAGTGCTGCAAGTTTAGGACGATGGAGAGTAGCTCCTTTTCGATCGTGCTTTACCTTTCTGGTGGGTTTTTAACTTGTAGCTGTAGTAGCTAACAGGTAAAACATCCTCGCCTCGTTGTTGCATCAGGACATCCTCGATGCCGGTACCACTGGCGTCGACATGGAGCATGAAAGGCTTCATGATATCTGGCGAGGCGAGAATAGGATTAGAACAGAGCAGGAATTTAAATTGTTCAAAAGCAATGGTCTGCTGAATGGTCCAATTATACCGTTGCTTGGGGCTGGTTAAAGTAATCAAAGGTGTCACCACCGTACTAAAATTCTTCACAAACCTACGATAGTAGGAGGCAAGACCAAGGAATCGCAGGAGCTGCTTCCTGGTGGTAGGCTGTGGGTAATGCTGGATGGCTAGGGTATGTATGTTTAACGGAGCTAAGCTGCCACTCCCTATCTCATGACCAAGATAACGCACTTTACCTTTGGCAAAGGTGGACTTGCCCAAGTTGATGGTGAGGCCGGCTGTCAGGAGCTTGGCAAACAATCGTTGCAGCTGGAGCAGATGTTCGCTCAAGGTGTTGGTTGCCACAACGATGTCACCCAAGTAGGCGTAGGTGTTATCTAAGCCCTGGATGACGCGGTTGACAGCTCGCTGGAAGGTGGCTGGGGCCTTACATAGTCCAAATGGAAGGTGTTCGTATCTGTAAAGGCCAAAGGGAGTGGTAAAGGCAGATATTTCCTTAGCTCGCTCAGTCAAACATACTTGGTAGTATCCCTTGAGTAAGTCTAACTTTGATAGATACCGAGCATTACCAATGGCGTCAAGGATGTCATCTATTCTAGGTAATGGATAAGCATCCTTGATAGTCACAAGATTTAATTTCCGGTAATCAGTACACAACCTCACTTTACCTTGCGGTTTCGGCACCAAGATGCAGGGTGAGGCCCAAGGGGACTCACAAGGGGTGGTCAGCCCATGATCCAGGAAGTACTGTACCTCAGCATGCATGACTTCCTTTTTGCTCGGGCTGATTCTGTAGAAAGGTTGACGAATTGACCGGGTGTCAGGGAGTAGCTGGATGTCGTGCTGAACCACATTACACTCCTGTGGATCATTGCTGAACAACTTCTGATGTTCCTTGAAGATTCTGATGAGAGGAGCACTATTACAGTCCTGCAAATAAGTATGAAGATCATTAGGGATTTCCGAGTTGGAAGGCACTGACTCAGTGTTAGTGCTTTCGGGAGGAGAAGCAGGGAAGGTCTCACTGTGGAGGTATGGACCTTTAAAGGTGGATAATGATACCAACACAGTAGGGGGAGTACCTTGATACTGCTTCAGGAGGTTGACGGGGCACAACTGAGTCTTTCGCCGCCTATCTGGAGTCTCAAGAACGTAGTTATGATTGTTTCTGCACTCCTTGATGTGGTAAGGTCCTGAAAACTTGCTTTGCAATGGAGAACCTGGGATAGGAAAATATGCCAACACGAAGTCTCCTGGTTTAAATTTCCTTAGTTTGCTGCGTTGGTCAAAATTAGTCTTCATCCTCTCCTGAGCTTTCAATAGATTGTCATTAGCAAATTTACGTACTCCCTCTAGAATGTGTTTTAAGTTTTGAAGAAACTGGGGCACATTCTGAGGGTCACTGAAGGTGGCATTACGTAGAGAGTCTTTGAAAGCTCTGAGAGGAGTACGACACTTACGTCCGTAGAGCATCTCATAAGGAGATACTCCTAGAGACTCATTGGGGAGACTTCTGAAAATGCACATAATGAGGTCAAGTTGTTTATCCCAGTCCTTCAAGGTTTCATTGCAAAATTTCTTTAGGAGTACTTTAATAGTCTGATGACTACGTTCAAGAGAACCCTGTGAAGCAGGATGATAGGGGCTGGACAGTACCTGTGTGATGTTGAACTCTTCCAGTGTCTTCTTGAAGAGATCACTGGTGAAGTTGGTGTTACAGTCACTTTGAACCTCTCTTGGAAATCCATACTGGGCGAAGATCTTCATTAGTTGTTTCATCACAGTAGCAGCCGTAATGTTCTTTACTGGAACTGCTATGGGGAATCTGGTGGTAGGACACAAGATAGTTAGTATATAGGCGTTGCCAGAACTGGTCCGGGGTAAAGGACCAACACAGTCTATGATGAGTCTGTGGAAAGGTTCCGCAGGCACCTGAATAGGAGTCAATGGGGCCTGGTGAATAGTGATGTTAGGTTTACCTGCCATCTGACATGTATGACACTGTTGCACGTACTTTTTGACGTCCTTAACCATACCTGGCCAGTAGTAGTCTTGTCTGATTCCGTGGTAGGTTTGTTAAGGGGTGAACAATGAGCTAGCAACTGCTGACGGCAACAATTCACAAATGTCACTACTCTCACATATGTGCCTCTTCATTTATCAAACTGTAGCAATTATTGGTGTGTACATGAGGAATACTTATATGATGTTAATATTGCAGGAGTATGTGAGCGAGGTGGTGAGCGAGCCCCTGCCCCACGACCTGCCACCATGGCGGGTCACTGTGATCACTACCTGTGATGGAGGAGGCGGCGAGACGTGGATGGTGGCGCGCGCCCACCACCTCCTGGCCGCCAAGCTGGCCCTACCGGACTTGTTGGTGACGGCCTATCCTGACCCGTGGCGTCACCCAGCCACCCGGAGCCTCACCCTTCTCGCCGCCCCTGCCGCCACCACCCGCTTCCTTGGCACCGCCATCACACTGGCCTCCACTACAGCAGCCACGGTTGGCGAGGCGTGCAGGCGGTGGTGTCATGAGCGATTCACGAGTTTTAAGACTCCCATCTTCGTCGTGGTGGAGGAGGCCCTGCAGGCCGCCTACAAAGTTGCATCTGAGGAGGACCCAGCACCTGTGGCCCGGGTCCTGGCTGCCTCTCTCACCTTCATCTCTATACTGAGAGGAAAACTTGTCAGCTGTATTAGTTCACTCTGGGTAACCACAAGAGAGCATTGCAACGCTGAGCGTGTATGGCACTGTTGCCTCATATGTGTGGCCTGGGGTGCCAGGCTGTGGTGGCAGTGTGCTTTATGTGTGCTGAGGCTGCCCTGGACCCTCCATGTGTGGTGCACAACCTTGTGTTGTTGGGTGAGGGAGGTCCGCGCTACAGAGCACTGTGTCATTCTGGAGGATGCCATTGTGGAGGTGTACTGGATGATCCGAGCTTTTGTCACCCTGCCGCGCCTGGTGCTGGAGGAGGCGCTCAGCACCCGAGGAGCGACGCCACTCATGGGCTGGCTTGGACGCCGCCGACGGTTGCGGTCAACCCGGGGACGGGGTCACAGCATGGCGGTGGCATGGAGTGACCCCGTGCCTCTCAGCACCGCCCGCGGTGTACGAGGTGTCACGGGGGCCACACTGACAGAAGTGCTGCTGACTGCCTCAGCTGGTGCAGTCCGAGACTACCTCCGTGTCATGGGACTGCCTGTCCCCGACGAGGTCAGCTGCACACTGCCCGTGTACTCCCAGCGGTGGGCTGAGAGCGGCCCGAGAGCCCACACACCCGGTCTGGTCACCTTGGCCCTCCCCACTGGTGCCACCGAGGCCTCCATGGCCCTACACACACTGCGAGAATCTATGGGAAAAGTACAAGCCTACCCTGAGCGTTACCTGGCATCTGTATGGCTCATGAGGAACGTGGCATACTTCCTGCCCGAGTCGCTGCTGGGTATTGTGTTCCGGGCACTGTCGGCTCGCTACCCGGTGCTCATGTCCAACCTGGCTGGGCCGTCGCATCCCATCACTCTCTGGGGCCATCACCTCGTCAACATATTTCACTGGAGGCCTCCGCAGGATGGCGCCGGTGAGATATTTCATCACAAGTTGTCTCGGTAGTCATTTGCGACCTCATCTTGTAGCTTCCAAAGAAACATCCACCTGGCTACAACACCTGACAACACATCCACCTGACAACACATCCACCTGACAACACATCCACCTAACAACACATCCACCTAACAACATATCCACCTGCTGGAGTTAGGAGTCTCTTCCTCAATGTATCACAAAGTGTCTAGCAAACATTCTCATCTATACACTATCGAGATAAGTATATGAAATACTATTCGTATGTACTTTCTAAATAAAATTTCTCCTTTTTCATTTGTGGTACATTAGGCAAGGGAGCGGTTGTTGATAATGGGTCATGGCAGCTTAATATAGTTTATGGTCGTGTCCCGACAGTGTTGTCGTTGTGTGTGGCGTCGTACCTGGGTCGTGCCCGACTGGGGGTGATGGGCGACGCCAGGGTGGTGCCCAACGCCGCCTCCCTGCCCCAGGCCTTCGTCACCCACCTCAACGAGCTCGCTGTCAACACCGGCGTCAGGCTGTACACAGTTTTAATTGTGTTTATTTTGTATTGCTCAACAAAATTAAGATTTGTTATAGTATAAATCATTGGTCTACGTTGTGATCATTCAGACCAACAGTGCCATGCACTCATATCATATATAATAATTCGTAATATATATATTCATATATTATAATTCAGAATAATTCACAAAACATATATTATATGTTTGTGTTATGCCCACAGAGAGCGTAGGTCCTCCCGTAGCTGGCTCCCTGGTAGCTCTCCAGGCACCACGCCCACACCTCCGCCCACGTCCACCTACTCACAAGCAGGATTCTTCCTGCAGTGGGGGAAGGTGAAGCCAGTGGTACAGCTTGCCAGAAGACAGTCGGCTGTGTTCTAGTGTGGGGCAGTTCCACAGCCCCTACTCCATCACACCCAACACCAAGCTGAAGCAAATTGCAAGTGTCAGCATATCCATCAGCAGCGAAAGACGTCTTTCGCCTGTAACTTTATCAAACAGCAAAATCATCGATGCCCATACCCAATAAATGTAACTTTAAAAATAATAGTGCATTTGTTTCAATTGTGCAATAATTATACCAAAGATATATTTCAAATTTATCAATGAAAATTAAAAGGTTTAAGATA